CTTCGTCTACCGGTACGAGGCTGCCACTCGAGAACCTTTTTTCCCCAACGGTTGTCGGTTCTTCGAGCTATATGGCCGGCCCATTGCCACTTCAGCTTACTAATCCGTTGGGCTATGTCGGTCACTCTGGTTCTACTGCGGATATCCTCATTTCTAAGTTTATCACGCAGAAAAACTCCGAGCATAGCCCTCTCCATAGCTCGCTGAGCGACTTTGAGTGTCCTCATACGGCCAGCAGTGAAGGACCACGTCTCAGTTCCATATGTCATCACTGGCAACACGCACTGGTTGTAAAACTTAGTTTTCAGGTTTTGAGGTATACCTGACGAGAAGATGTAATTTCCCGAACGCTGCCCAGCCGAGTTGAATCCGTCGATTGACCTCTCGGTCCAAGTTGGACTTACCTAGCCGGACTGTTTCTCCCAGGTAAACGTACTCGTCAACATCTTCGAGCTTAGTGCTCCCAACAACTACCGGCATAGGTGTGACATGGACATTAAACATGATCTTTGTTTTGTCCATGTTCATCTTAAGACCTATCCGTTGGGAGGCACTATTGAGGTCATTGAGCATAGTGCTTAAGTCCTCCAGCGATTCTGCCATAAGGACTATATCGTCGGCAAATCGAAGGTGACGTGACTCGCCATTGATGTCAATACCGTATCCTTTCCAGTCCAGTAGCTTGAAAACGTCTTCCAATGCACCTGCTCCTCTCTGCAGTTGGATAGGTTTCGTACTCTGGTTCTGTACTCGGATAGCCATCGTAGCCCTACTGTGCAAACACTTCAGCACTTCGATATACCGACAGTCAACTTGGCACCGCTGAAGAGACTGTAGCACCGCCCAAATTTCGACGGAATCAAAGGCTTTCTCATAGTCCACATCCGCCAGGCAAAGTGGCAGATTGTACTCTTCGGACTTCTGTACAATTTGCCGAAGGGTATGTATGTGGTCTATGGTACTAAAGCCTTTTCGGAAACCGTGGCGTCGTGGCGGCTCAGGACCGTGCTTTGTGGCATACCTTGGGGGAGGCCTATGTTCAGCAGTGGACTTGTAAAGGGCTGTAATGATGATGATGATGATGAAGCATTTAATATCTTAGGTGACTAGTTGTTAGTTACAGTATACAAATCTTCAACTATTCGCGTAGTCCAAAAATATATTTTTTAAACATAACCTAACTGCTGCTGTGTGTACCTAATAACTGCTGTGTGAAAATGTGGAGTGTGATTTTATTTTTGTGAACTTCAAATACCTCTGTAACTTTTTAGTGTGAACTGTTATAAAAGTTTTCTAATTAGTGCAAATTACTTTTTTAAATATAAAAACGTTTTTAAAATTTACTCTACTGCAATAGTAGCGCCACGCCACCCTAATTTAACGCATTTCGACACTTTTTCTTATGGACGACACACACGGTCAGTTCAACTGATCATTCCAATATCCAACTGATCAGTTCAAACTAGGGCTAGATTTTTTAAAATATTGGATTTTCAATATATCGATAAATAAACTTATATATAAAACTCCGATATTGATATATTTATAGTTATCGATATATCGAAAATCCGATATTTTAATAAATATGAACAGTCCTATTAATATTGATATTTTAATAAATATCGACAAATAGAACAATACTTGTTTCTGTACTTAAAACTAAATTGTTATTCTTGATGTACTAAAAATTAAATAAAATCGTTATTTTTCTGTACTTAAAATTACAATAGGTAAATTGTTTTTTTTCCTGAAATTTTATTAAATAAAGAATCTCCAATCATCTAATAATTTGTTCAAAAGAAATACCCAATTGGCAACAGTATTGAAGGCTTTTTAGAAAAATATTTAATTTATTTGTAATTTTTTCCTGAACGTCGCCGAAACAGGAATCGGCTGGGCCGATTAACCAGCCGATTAATCGGCCATTTCTTAACCGTATAATCGGCTAATCGGCCAAAGAAGAAAAATTTAAATATAGCTTGATTAGAATGACAGTTTTCATTCTGATATGATTAGCGCTGGGAACATTTACTCGATATATCTATAAAGTATTTATAAATATTAGGTAATAAAAGATATGCTACACCCAATACTTATTTTAACCGAGTATTTGAACATTGGGACTCATTTTGGGCTGATAATTTTTTTAAATAATTGCAATACCAAATTTATTGACACAAGGGTGTACACTCTAAGTCACAATCATCATCATCATAATCAGTCACTGTAACAATCTTCGAGATTAATGCCTGATCACACAAATAATCAAAGCGGACATCACGTGACCAATCTACTGTGATAATGCTTCGCGTTTTATCGACCAACTTCTTCCAATCATTTGGTGTTACGTGTTCGCATGCATTGTTCAACAAATTTAACATTTTATTTGCCTCGAACAGCGGGGTGGTATTGTGTCTTGCTGCATGACCTAAAGCGGAAACAATGAATTATTTTTTTATTAGTAATGCACTAATTAACTTTATTTAAATATTAAAAACCTTTAACTTGCGTCCAAATTAACCCTATTGCGATATACTGGCAATGATACGGTGGCAGGCGGATAACAGTGTCCCTTTTCTTTTGTCACTAAACGCAAAAGTTCTTTTTTCAACATAGTGCCATCGGCTTGTACTCTGAATGACAGGGTGCATTATCCATTAGTATCACATGGGGTTCATCTAAATTATTTAGAAGTTTTTTAAACCATTCTTCGAATTTTTCAAAATTCATCTCTTCGTGGTACTACGACGTCTTGACAGGCTTGAATGCCAGAAAAGAATTTGTTACAAATCCAGGTACCAGCATGGCAAATTATTAACCCTTCACCTTTGCCCTCAGGTACCTTAGTAGACAATTCGGGTTTATCATCAGTCCAAGTTTTAGAAACCGTGTGGTTTGCATTCAGCCATCTTTCATCCCAGGAACACTACTTTATCCCAATTATCAATATCTATCACTTTTCGTAAAAAAATAATGCGTTCAAGAGCAATATCGTTACGTTCCATAATAATTTTTCTTTTGTTACTCTTTTTATTAAATTTATTAAAAATGGATTCTATGATAGAATCCATTTTTTTAATATTGTAGATAAAGATGGTAGGTTCCCACTGAACAAATTTGCATCTTCCATAAAACGTGTGTAATATGCGTAGGTGTGATTACAAATTGCTGCGTCGTCGATATCGTCTATGTCAGTTACAGGGCAACGTTTCTTTCTCTTTTTATTTGGAGTAGATAACTTATTCTCCTCCGTTGATATATCTTCAAATTTTTCTATGCTGATTCTAGTTACTGAGGCTCTGCCAATTTCAAGTGCCTCTGTAACTCTGTCACACACTTGCAACTTATATTCACGTTCAAAATAGTCACGCAAAACGAATCACAAACTCGCGAGATTCGCTATTTATAACAGTTTTTCTGGTTTATTTTGGCATTGTAACAACAAAAAGGCAATAACAAAACAAATAACAAAATAGGAACAGCAATTACTCAAAACAACTAAATAAACGAAAACTGGGGAATACAAAGCGTATACAATGCGTCTTTTGTCTGTAGCACTCGTAGGTGTGACTGACGCTCAAAGCTCAAACAAACAAAATGGCAGCTCAATATACTCAGTGCTACCAATATTTAAAAAAAACGAACGCATTAGTATTTTTTTTTTTGAAACGAAATATTTTTTTCTGAAATAATATTAAAATAAATTTATTTTAATTTAATAAATTCACATTTGTCGATTTGTCCCATCTCTAACATTTTTGCAACTTGGGGTAACCTTGTAAGATGGTAGGTAAATTATTAGGCTTATTTTTGTAATAACGAATTAATACTATATAATATATATATATATTGGTTTAATTTTAAAGCCAAATTCATGTGTTGCACGTTTTTAAGTGAAGATTATATATATCAAATCAATATTATTCAAATCAATCGTTACGTTGGACGCTACTATAGAGTTATGCCGTCACGTTTCATACTTCCCAGAAGAACCATTGATAATAACTACTATTTAAATATGAAAAAATAAGTTTAAGTGCTGATGGCGTTACCTTTCATATATTATAAGTCATTTTTAATCATAATTTTGCTATTTACATTTTTAACAATAATAACGGTCCTGTTGTACCAACACAGGCCACCCACTCTCGTAGAACATGCAGATCGGTCGTGCGACTGATCCGAGTCTGAATCCAAGTTGTCGATGCACCGAGCGATACTGTTATAATGTATCTATATGAGTGTGAAATTGGTAGTTTATTTCCCTCTACACTCCATAATTTATTGTTTAATTGTTATGTGTGAGTTTTGTAGTAACAGACAATTGTTTTTGTGTATGTAGATTTCCCTTCGCAAAAAATGACAAGACAGTTCAGTATTGGGGAAACGCTATGGCTACTCCCCTCCGCACCGATCCACCGGTGACTAAAACTTAGTTACTAGTAAATAAACACATAGTAACATAGTACCTACACTATTACTATTACTATACCTACATGGATCTGCGTTCCTTTTATCTTGTATATTTTTTTAATTATAGGTGCAGTGGCTACAAGGCTTTTCGCCAGAAAGCATTACATCAGTTACCTGTAATATTTAAAATATAATTTACTTCACTTATTACTGATACATCACGAAGTTATTGGAAGATTTTCACAATAGACTAGAGTCGATGACGATAGTATTCAAATTTTGAGTATTCAACCGAGATCTCATGTCAATCCCTATCGCAGCACTTGTTTTCAACTTTTTTTTCGAATAGTTTATTTGCACAGACATATAATACATTACAAAATCCACTTTAAACGCTTATTTTGACCAATAAAATACGTGCGGCAATCTGCCAGGTTTATGTTCCCGCTATATTTCCTCAAATTGTATCTATTGTGTCGTGTCTTCCCGTAATACGTTTTAGGTTTAGTATTTATATTCTGTGCTTACGACGCATGACGCTGACCGCTGAGCGTAACGCATCGCATTTCGCTTTGCCGTAACAGAATATGGCGATTTATCGGTATGTTAAATATCAATATCACTAGCTCCAAAATACTTATCTCACCCTATAATATCCATTAATCTAGCGTATGATTTTATTTGTTTTGTATCTATTTTTATTGTAGCGATGTAATTGTTTTGGAGGGAAATAAAGTTAAAAGTCCAACTTGGCTTTACTTCGATGTCAAAGATGAGGAAAATAAGCTTGCCACTTGCAGTTTATGTCAGGAAGTATATTCCTTTAGAACCTCCGTAACTAATCTAGCGAAACATTTGAAATACAAGCACAAATTAAAAATTTCAAAAAGCTCCGATGCTGATGGAAATGTAAGGAAGTATGTAGTCGAGCAAGAAAAGTAAGTTCATATAAACACTTCTGCCATATTGTAAATAGATAAATTATGAAGCCACATAAAATAAACTGTCGTTTATTTAATAGTTTTTGATTTCATTATAGAGATGATCAACCAGAAGATAACAAGTTTCGTACTGGTACTCAAGCATGGGAATATTTCAATATAAAGAGTGCAGAAGATAAGTTGGCGAGCTGCACAGAGTGTGAAGAGATCCTTTCATACAAAGAAAATGAGGATCAACTTGTAGATCACTTATTTCTCGCCCATTCAATCACCCTTCAGAAAGACGCTGCGACTGAGAAAAAGGATGAAGAGTCTACTGTAGAATATGAGGTGGTTGAGTAAGTTTCATTTGTTGTTCTATTTATTTTCAATTACATATCTATTTACACTAGGATGTGGAAGGTAAAAATATATGACTACTATAGCCATTGACTGTTGGTAGTTTTGTTGCTTCCTGTAAATTTCATTTGTTCGGTTCGATTCCCACCCAATGAAATTGTTACTTGTAATTTAAGTAATGATTTACCATGTGCTCAGAGCAGAATGAAAATATTGCAAGGAAAGGAGTGTGGCTAAGAAATTATAAAAAGTATTTTTATCCGAGTGACCCACTTCAATATAAATAAAATGAGAACATCATTTATGTATTTAAAGTCAATTAAATACACATTATTAATGATAAGTTAGAAACGATTGGTCAGATCTTGATCAAATCTCAAAGTGGAAGATTGTACTTTTCGGTCTTCTATACAATTTTCTGCAGGGTACATATGTGATCTATGGTACTAAAGACTTCTGAAACTGCTTGTTTTGGAGGCTGGAAGTCATCGAGTCTGTGTGCAAGACAATTCGTAATTATGAATCCCTATAGCTCACTCAGGACTATGCTCAACGTTTCCCTGCATGATAAACTTAGAAATGAGGATATCCGCAGTAGAACCAGTGACCGACATAGCGCAACAGATTAGTAAGTTGATGTGGCAATGAGCTGGTCATATAGCTCGAAGATCCGACAACCAATGGGGGAAAAAAGATCTCGAGTGGCAGCCTCAAACTGATAAGCGAAGTATAGGGTGACCTCCCACTAGATGGAGTGAAGACCTGGTAAGATATGCAGGAAGTTAATGGATGCAGGTGGCTCAGGACCGTGCTTTGTGGCATTCATTGAGGGAGGGCTATGTTCAGCAATAGACTTGTGAAAGGCTGTAATAATGATGATGATCTTCCATCGCATCAACCCTTGCAGATAGTCTTATTTCTCCAGGATTCATTTGCTTTGTCTCTTTCCTCATTCATTCCTATACCAGCATATAAAGTAAAAGTTACACCCTCAATATGTTCCACTGCTGGGCACAGACTCATCTAACTCCTGAGAGGGTGTTAGGACAAGAAAATGTGCACCTCACTGCTCCAATGCATGCGTAATTTCTCACTATATTTTCTTTCGCAGCCGAACATCTGGTAAATCAGCACTTAAAATTGCAATTACCAATTTCAATGGTGCAGGCAGGGATCGAACCTGGGCTGTTGTGATTTTGTGATATTACGAATATTTACTATATAGTGATGATGGGAAATAGAGACCCAATTTTTACTTTTCCTGCGACACTTAAGATTTAGCCTGTGTGAGCACTTATATTAATTTTAATTCATTTATTATCATCTGGTTGACTGTGCAACTTTGATATGCTTATTTCTTTAAATATTATAGTGACAAATAAGTCTAGAGCTTAAAGTGAATATAGCAAAACTCCTGCAACTAAATAAAAAAGTCTTTCTGGATAAGAGATAATGGCTCCCAACTTCTTACTAAATTGACTTATACCATGTGGTAGCAATGTTGACCTATGTAGTAGTGGAGTAAAAATATCCACTACCCTATATCATCCCATGACGTGGCTGCCATAGGAAGCAACAGAGGGGAAATAAACCAGAAAATGGGCACATTTTATTTTCGTTATTTTTTTTAAAAGGTAGGGTGACAAAAGTAAGTAAGTGGTTGCTGTGACCTGTAAACATCTACATCTATCCTTGATTACAAATCAAAATGCATGAATTTTCGCCCATGAGGACTAAGATGGAATGCCTTGTTTCCAGTAAAAAGGGTCTCCGGTTCTCTACACTCACTCTACGATACACAGCAGCATTGAGCAACTCTTTTACGCTGGTATTCTGTGAGAGTGTGGTACTTTCCTGGTCGAGCCAACCCATTCATGCTACAACTATACTACTAATATAACTGCAACGTGTCTCTACCAGCATTTTCCTAATAACACCTAAAAAATAAAAAACTATATGCTTGCCAACCTGCCTGCCAAGTGTCGCGACTATGGCAAATATCTCCGCTATGATACAATCTATATGGTGGCCAATGTTCAGCGTTGGACTTATGTGGCCTTCCACAGCCAAATTGCAATAAATATTTCATATATTTTTAACTTTTAGAGAAACCCATATGGCAGTCAGTGTTTGGGAGTACTTTGACAAAAAAGATGAATCGTCAGAAACGGCGATATGCAATTTATGTGAGGATGTGGTCTCCTACAAAGAATCCCTTGACAAAATGCTGGAGCATTTGCTGTTGAAGCATGATATTAGCAAGACTTATGATGAAATTCAGGAGACTGAAAGTGAAGCTGACAATATGTATGTATAAATAAATTATTACTAATAACTATAACTTATTAGGTTATGTAGGCTGGTCCCTACTAAATGTATTAAGACAAGCAGGAAGCCAATGGATGCAGGTTGCTCAGGACCGTGATTTGAGGCATTCCTTAAAGGGGAGGCCTATGTTAAGCAGTGGACTTGTGGAAGATTATAATAATGATAACAATGATGTTGATTACTTATGACATTGTTTCGTGGCGTTCAGGGACAAATTACTAGCAACAATCTTATTTCACCACACAGCTGACTTCCAACTTAAACTCAAGATAATAGCGTAAACGCAATCATACCCTCATTAATTATCATAATTTTCATATTATTGAAAACTAGACACGAAATACAATGCACAAGTCCACAACATAAGTTGTTACCTCTTGGAATACATTCATTCACTGGTACGTAGATACTTCAATAATTTACACACTCAACTTTGGAAAAATTTAGTAGACTGTAGACAAGCTAGGGAGGCCCTGCCTGAAATAAACAGTCGTCTAACCAGGGTTCTAATGAGACTGAAATTAGGATAGTAACAAGTGCTATCACAGGGCATGGCTCTTTTAACAAACATTTGTTCACCATAGGTGTTACTGACAGCCCCCTGTGCAGGGCATGCATGGGAGAGGAAGAAACGGCGGCTCATGTGTTGCTGACATGTCCAGAAGTCGCTTCATACAGGGCTAAACATCTCGGCACGCCGGGATCGCTCCCCGAAGTTGCTTGCAACATTAAAGGACTGTTGAACTTCTTAGGGGAAATATCATGGCTCGAATAACCACATTTTTTTTTAATTTGGATTACCAACATAAGAAACAGCAATTAATGTTTTACGTGCCCACACGCAAAATACGCGCTTAGACGTGGAGTTGCGGAAAACAGGGCGTCGTAAACTAAACTAAACTACCTCTTGGGATTAAGATGGAATGCTTTACAACATGTAATTAGCCCAGTCCTCCATACCCTTCAGTCTGGAACACGGAATTGCACGCGCTGTCATTGTCCTCCAGATCGAATTTTGGTCATGGTGGTCTGACTCAACGGAGACAGCTATCTGTGCAGGTCAGTGCACGAGTGTATGCACTAGCACAGGTTCACTCTCTATTCCTTTACTCTCATAGTCCGATGAGATGGTAATCCGACACAATCGAAAAGAGTATCAGGCGCAGAACTAACGGCTTTACGTGATTTCCGATGTACAGAGGTCAAACACTACAATCTTTCTGACTCTGGGCTGCTGAGAATTTCGTATCTGAAATTGCGTTGACCTATTTTTGCCAGACCTGGTATTAGAACCCAGGACACCTCATGATCAGCAACCATTACTAACTACTACCTAACAAGCCAGACATGAAAAATGAAAAGGATACTACCTTTCAAGACGGTCTACTAGGAAAAAAAGTTGCCCTACTAACATAAACATAAACACTCACGCCTGTCACAAAGAGGGGTAGGCAGAGACTACAGACTTCCATTTGGCACGATCCTGACACACCTCTCTCGCCTCCTTCACATACATACACCTACGCATACATGCTCGTCGGTTAAGGGTACTCCTAATTTGGCCCGATTTTAATAAATCGCCAATTTGGTCGATAAATTTTCGCCTAGGACGTCCCTTTCCGACTCTGCCATTCACTTCTGCAACATAAATTTTCTTTGTCACTCTTTCCTCATCCATTCTTTCGACATGACCAAACCACCGAAGCATTCCTTTCTTAATCCTGGTCACAACATCATCTTGCAAACCACACTCTTCTCTTATTACACAATTTCTTACCCTGTCATTCAGATTCAGCCCTAACATACTCCTCAACGACCGCATTTCTACTGCGTTTATTCTACTCTCGTGCTTCTTCTGCCACACCCAACTTTCACTACCATACGTTAAAGTAGGGACCAACATAGCATTGGGAATTGCCATACTTGCCTTTTTCAACACATTTTGAAACTTCACAATAGAGTGTAGGGCCCCATTTATTCTATTTCCTGCATTCACTCGTCGTTCTATATCCTTATCATATCTCCCATCCCTGCTAAATACGCAGCCCAAATATACAAACTTGTCTACTTGCTCGATCAACTTCCCTTCTATTCTTAATTCACAAATCGTTTTACTTTCTTCTCTTTTAAAAAACACCATCGTCTTACTTGCGTTCACTTTCATATCCCTTTCCTTTAATGATCTGTTCATTAATGTAACCATCATTTGCAACTCGGCCGCCGACGACGCAAGGGTAACTTGATCATCGGCGTACAAAAGGCATTTAACGGTTATCTCACCCATTCTTAATCCGCATTCTTCAACTTTCAAATTTTGCAAACAACTGTCCCTAAATAGGTTGAACAGCCACGGGGAAGCCACACAGCCCTGTCTGACACCTTTATGGATGTCAAACCAGTCCGAGTAGACCCCGTTGATCCTAACACAAGCACTAGAGTCCCTATAAAGAGACACCAATGCCTGTATCAAGCCTGCGTTCAACCCAAATGAGTTCAGTGTTTGCCATAGCACATCCCTATCCACTCTGTCATAGGCCTTTTCCAAGTCCATGAACACACAAAAAACCTTTTGGGTTTTTGGCCAAAAACTTCTCTGCGATCATGCGCATGGAAAAGACTTGATCTGTACATCCCATTCCCTTTCTAAATCCCGCTTGCACATCCCAAATTTTTCCATCAGTTTCTTTCATGACCCTTTCAATCAGTACTTTAGCATACAGTTTTCCCACAATGCTAAGAAGGCTGATGCCACGGTAGTTTTTACAGTCCTGCTGCGACCCTTTTCCTTTATATACTGGGACTATCACGGCTTTGCACTAGTCTACTGGTACCCGCTTCAGTTCCCAGCATAAACTAAACAAGGTGTGCAGCAGGCCTGCCACCACTTCCTCTCCAGCTCTTAGCATTTCGAGTGAAACTCTATCATATCCGGCAGCCTTACCTGCTTTCATGCTTTTCATTACTTTCATTATTTCATCTATACTTATCTCGCTACCTCTTTCCTCTTCTTTCGGTGTTTTTACTTCACTTAGTACACACGTTGTCTCCTCACTCATAAACACGCTTTCAAAATATTCCTTCCATCTCTTTAAACTCAAAACTTCATCATTCAGAATATAGCCATTCTCGTCTCTTATAGCATTCATCATAGGCTGTTTTGAATGTCCCCTGGCAGTTCTTACAAGTTTCCAGAACATTTTAATATTTGCCTGGAAATTATCCGATATTCTTCTATCATTCTTATCCGTTCTTTCTTGCTTTTTTCTTTCAACTACTTCTTTTACTCTCATATTAAGATGTCTAAAGACTGCCTTTTTTCTTTCAATATCGTCATTCGTACCGCTAGAATTACCAGCTTTTGTTGCTAGTAAATCTAGCCCCATGCTCTCTTCTTTGCTTCAACTTCCATACGTATCTCATCATCCCACCATAACATATTATTTTTCCTTTCATTCTTTCTCTTACTAACACCACATACTTCGGTAGCTGCATCCACTAAACCTTTCTTTACATTTTGCCATACATTCTCCAAGTCTAACTCCTTCATACATAATTCATCCAAACCACTTATATTTTCTTTCAGTCTACATTTGAACTTGTTTTTCTCACCTTCATCTTGTAATCTTTCAGTTCTAATACGCTGTAACGCAGTGGTAGACACAGATGACCGATGGCGCCAACGCCTGAATAGACCATTAATTCGGCATTAAACCAAATAATGATCCGTTCCTACGTTAGAACCCCGGTAAACCCTTGTATCTACCACTGCGTCCCTCAATCTTTCATCCACAATTATGAAATCTATCATGCTTCTATCGTCACCTCTTTCCCAAGTATACATGTGAATCCTCTTGTGGCGAAAGCAAGTGTTCGTCACAAAAAGATTCTTTTCCATACATATGGTGAGGAGACTTTCACCATTCTCATTTATACTTTCATCACCAAACGTTCCCAATATCCTTTCATAACCAAGCCTCCTCACCCCAACCCTTTTATTAAAATCTCCTAGCATAATAATATTTTCATTTCCCTTACACTTCATTAACACCATCCTTACCATTTCCCAAAACTGCTCTCGGATATAAGTGGGCTTAGACATGTCTGGGGCGTAGATCCCTAACACAAACAACTTCTTTAAGCCCACTTTCATTCGTATCCATAGCAGTCTTGGGCTTACACATTCATACTCTTTCACACATTGGCCCATTCTATCTGAAAGGATGATACCTACTCCCTGGCATGCCCGCTCGATTTCGTCTACACCAGACCAGTATGCGGTATACATGCCATGTGTAATGACATCCTTCCCCTTCCTTTTCGTCTCATTTACAAATAACACATCTATTCCTCTATCATACATCATATCGCATACTTCATCCATTTTATCATTCATTGCCCCACATACATTCAACGTAGCCAGACGGGCCTCTGCAATCCACTTTTCGCCTCTGGAAATGGAATGGAATTGGAAGTCTGTAGTCTCTGCCTACCCCTCTGGGTGACAGGCGTGCGTGTTTATATGTAACATGTAATAATAATAAGTAAGAAAATATTAATCCGCAGCACCTTTACAGAGGCATGACAATAGGGGGTCGGAATAGCAGGAGCGCAGCATGGGATTACTTCAAAGTGAGCGACCGAATTAACAAGCTTGCTATATGCAAAATGTGCAATGAGACATACTCCTTCAAGACCTCGGTGACTAACCTGATGAAACACGCTCGCAGGCATCTAGGCAAGGACTTCAGGAAGAAGTCCCTCAATCAATCCAATCAGTCCAGGTGAGTCAGATTTTAAAGTGTGGTAATTTTGGAGTAAGCGAATCTATTGTACCATTTCGTACCACAGGTGTCATAAGCAACAACTGTAGGATAATCTTATGGCTTTTCTTACAGATGGTAGATTTTTTATAGAATAATCATACAGTAAAAAAGCATACAGTCCTCCACCCTACACATGGTAAGTGGATGCTGTGGCCCATAGACATCTACATCTATCTTCTATTAAGAATCAAAATTATCAGAATTATGCGTTATCAACTTATCCCTGAGGACTAAGATGAAATGCCTTGTTTCCAGTAAAATGGGTCTCCAGCTCGCCATAATAAAATAAATTTTATTTATTTAAAAAAGTACATGCCTAAGAACTAGTAGACTGGAACCTTCATTTAAGCAAATAATGCCTGTGTTTGGAGGGTCCACCCTTACATTACTATGTCCATGTTACATGGCAGTATGGGTAAACATATTTTATGTCCCTTATTAAAGTTATATATTACTTAAATTGTAAAATTAGGACAATCAAACAATAGGAACTAGTCTACTTATAAATACTGTATGGTATGTGAGTGAAATGTATACGTGTGTGTGCGCGCGCGCTCGTTTGTGTGTGTGTTTATGTCAGTGCTTAAACAGATATACAGTATGTGAATGTTTGTGTCAGTGCTTGCGTGAGTTAAGATGAGTGTGTGTGATTACACATAATCACTTCTTATGACACTCATTAGATGAAATGGGTTGATGGATGGTAATCGATTATACCACCACACTATATAAATATATAAAATATCTTCTTCGTTTTCATCTCAGCAGTCCAACAAAGCCCAGATTAGGTCAGCCGTCCAAGGCGTGGCACTTCTTCAAATCCTTGAGCAGAACGAGGAAGATCGCCATGTGCTTGGTTTGTAAGAAACGGCTCTCGTATGCCACATCCGTGTCGAACCTGAAGCGCCACTTGCACAGGAAGCATCCGGGGACTTGGAATGAATTGGTCAACATGGAAAATGGAATGGAATCGGAAACAGAAGGGGAGAATAAGGTAATTGTTTGTATGATGACACAAACATGAAACTTTCTTGTACTCATACACACACACATATGCATATTCTATTATTCTCCCCATAAAATGTATGTGTTTTTATGCATACTCACGCGTTCTTCTCTCTTCTCTTTCTTTTCCTCTCACTCTCTTTAATACACACACAAATACTTACGAGTACTCTTATCTCACTCTTTCCTTACCTATCTCTCCCTATCTTTCTCTCCCTCGCACTATTCACACAACACATTTTCACATCCTTGATTTTTCTTTTTCCCCATATGAATTTGTATTTATGTGTTTATTCATTTTGATTAGGTCGTTTAAATCTATTGTAGTTGTACCAATGTAATGGGAAGGTTATATAAAGAACTAGCTTAGAAGGCTTGGTTTCATTTATTGGTAAAAAAATTGGGGCTAATAAAGAATATGTTTTTTATTTATATATACTTTTTTTTTATAGAAGAGGGGGCACACGAGCATGTGGCTCACCTGACGCTACTGATACGCCTACTCTATATCTAACTCTTTCTTTTTTTATTATTTTTATAAAACGTTACCTCCACACTAGGGTTTTCTCCTGTATCGTGGGGGAAGTTCACAAACATAAATTTCACGAGGACAAACATCCAAACACGGAATAATTACTTGTAGGCCATACAAATACTTGTTCCGAGTCTAGTGCTGTAACTCATTGCTAAGCGACTGCGCCATGGAGCTGTCAATCTCTATCTTTTTCTCCCACAGAAATTTGATTATTACTCCTTATAATTTTTGTTTATTTTATTTTATTTATTATACTAAACAAATTTGTCCCTGTAGAGGCAGATAGTGGTGTCGACGGACGACCACGAGTACGAACTGGACGCCAAGAGTGAGGAGGAGAACTGCCTCTCGGTCGATGAAGATGAAGGCGATCAGGTGATGACACCAGATTTGTATCATTTTCCCGTTGCAGACAGTGTTGCCAAGTCTAGTTCAGTCTAATTCGTCAAAAAAAAATTTCTAAAATAACGCTTCATTTTAAAATCATAAAGTGTCCATCCATCAGTCTATTCATTACAGTCTATTAAGGTCCACTGCTGAAGATGGGTCTCGCCCATAGAATGCCTCATATGAGGAATTTTGCCATAATCGCCATACTTGGCGAGTGGGTTGTCAACTGCAGGTTTTTTTTAGTTTTGAGTTATTATCAGGAAGTAAACATGTGTCAATTTTTCATCATTTCAATTCGTTAGTTTGAGCAGTATTCATGGTTCATTCATCTGTTTTTCAATGTTCCGGTACAACCAATCGCAAACAATTGACAGAACCTTTTTGATTCGTGATTGGTGTCTATTGTGAATGAGTCGAAAACCGACCGAATCTCGAATGATCTGAATGAATTGTTTTTGGTGTAGGGTACTGGGCCCGAAATGATCTGTTTGAATGATCGATCGGAATGTACCGGTACGCGTGACGAAATGTACTAGAATCATTCGGTCACGAGAAATGAATGATTGATACATGTCTATCAGGAATATTTTGCTGCCCATCTTCTGTTTCAGTTTCCTCTGCCGCTTTTTATGACATCTACGAGACGGTATTAGGTGGTGAATTCTTTTACCCTGCCAATGTATATAAACCTAAAACCGATCAAAATTTAAGACTACTAGAAAAGCAAATTTAAATTATATGATGTAAATTTAAGTATTACTAGTAGACATGTGTCATTCATTAATTTATAGTGACCCGATCATTCAAGTATTGATTGACCCGGGTCATTCGGGTCGATCATTTAAATAGATCATTTCTAGTTTCAGTGATCTGTACTCTGGTCGTAGTGTAAATCGTTTTATCTAAAATGTTACAAGTGTTATTGCAATTATCAATACTTTGGTGCGACCCGGGTCGAATGAACGAATCAGTCATGATTGACACATGTCTAATTCCTAGCTTGTCTTTGCGAACGAATTTGAAAAACTTCTGTAATTCCTCAACCATGGTTCCAGTAATCAGAACAAAATTAACTATAGTTTGATTTCAGGAAGAAAACGTAGAGGAAATGGAGACTGTATACCTTGAGGAGTTTGAGGATCAAATAAGAAAGAGACAAGAGCAGAGACTCACTAGCAATAACAGGATCACTACTGTGGCACCTAAGAGAAGTGATTTAAACGGAGCTATTATGGATAAAAGTAGCCGAGAAAATATCCCCGTTGGGAGTAAAAGAGACACCTTGGATCATTTCGGCTCTTATATTGTGTCACTGATGAAACAGCTCCCCAAAAACGTGTCGAATCGTCTCCAGATGGATTTCGTCAGACAAATAATGGAAGCGCAATTAGATCAAGTTACAGCCAGTGAAAATCACAGCTGTGACACGCTGGTGGCTAATAACAGCGATACTAAGAATGATTAAATAAACGATAAGAAAAATATTTTGTTTTATTAAATTATAACTAATATTTTACTGCCACCAGATGTTGCTATTTCAACTGAGGTGTAGAATTTGTTATAATTTCACCATATGTGAAAATTTTCGTTTCTAATAAGTTTTCGGTTTCTAGTTTATATACCCATATGCACAAAACAATGCGTCAGTGGTTGCAGTTTAATTTTTTCGCACATTTTAAACTATTTTTATTTTTCTTAGCTTAAATACTTCAGAAATGCACATTTTTTACTTTAAAATTTTTGCCAAAATCTGTCAAAATTTTACCTCTTACCGAAGTGTCGTTGCATACACAACTAGATTTTGAGTTTAAATTTTTACCGTACAGGGACAGTATTTCATGCCGGAACACCGCCTGCAACTTTACAAGGCGCAGGTTCGGCCGCACATGGAATACTGTTTCCGTCTCTTGGCTTGGGCTAGCCAGTGCCAGCTCCTTCCATTTGATCGCATCCAGCGCCGAGCCGTTCGAATCGTCAGCGACCGAGCTCTTTCTGATCGGCTTGACTCACTGGCACTGGGGTGTTGCATTTCTTTGCGTATTTTATCACATTTACCACGGGGAGTGTTCTGAGCAGTGGCGTAGCTACCTTGGGTGGCACCCGGGGCGGAAGTTGGTGGTGTCACCCCATCGAAAATAAAAAGCAATAAATTTTATACGATAAAGGACATGGATCATTTATTATTTATAATATTGAAGAAATAACAAAACGCAATAATAACTAAGTCAGAAAAGGAATTGTTACCTATACAATTAAAATTTCTTCTTTCTAGCTTTGACTTTTTTATTATCTATCATTATAGATCATAATACACGTTTACTATAGAATATAATATACACTATAGAATATAATGTATGTACGTATATAGTATGGGACTGGGAATCCCCCACGACAGCGTCAGGCTCTTTTGCGGGAATCCCCGAATTATACATAGAGCTGAGCTAGTGCTAGTACAGGAATCCCCGAAAAAGAAATTTTTGTGCTAGCGATTTTTTTGTTTGTACATTGTTCTTAAAGTTGAGAGACCGGGGGGGTGTCACCCCAAAAAAGGTGACACCCGGTGCGGCCCCTCCCCCCTCTTTGCTACGCCACTGGTTCTGAGTAATTGTTCGGACTAATTCCAGCCGCACAATTTCACCATCGCACATCGCGATAAAACTCGCGATACTATTCATACCATCTGAACTGGCGGTCCACCACCGGCGATTTAAACGAAGTTTTCTTCCTCGCACAACTTCCGTGTGGAATCGACTACCACCAGATATTTGTCCGGACCGATACGATCTAGTAGGGACCATCAAGAAAAGAGCCTATTCCTTTTTAAAAGGCCTCGTTTGCCCCCTCCTATAAAACAAATCTATTTTTATATATACAAACATCCTCTTATATAAATAGGTATGTATTAGTTTCTTTAAAAAAACTTCTTCACAATATCACAATAAATAATTGACAATATGTTGATGTGTGAAGTTTTTGTGAATTGTGAAGTTTTGATGGCTCCTTGAGCCAGCAGACAAATTAGCTTGAGGTTCACATTACCATCGAAACACTTGTTTCGTCGTTTCCATTTATAGTTCATATGCGCAGACATTTAATACACAAAATCACATCACTTTTACCTAGCAAAATTTACTTCAAACTATTAATTTAACAATAATTTAAGATAATTGATAGAATCAGGCGTTACCTTGCGGAAATCCGTTATAATAAAAAATAAAAACATAAATTTCTTTGCAACCTTCCGCTAAATAAATACAATGATGTGTCTTACCTGTATTGAAGAGCACCTCCCGCCCTCCCTCAATTGCATGCACTAACTCCGTCACCACTAGTCCCAGCACCACTACTCCCAACACCACTATTCCAGGTAAGACACCATCGACGATAATACGACACGTGTTTCGCCTCTACACGAGGCATCTTCAGGTAATGTAGACTCTACGGCGGCTGACCGCTAAGTCAAAGCGCAAAGCAAGTTCTTAGCGGTCAGCCGCCGTAGAGTCTATATTACCTGAAGATGCCTCGTGTAGAGGCGAAACACGTGTCGTATCTCTTATTCTCTCATCGTTCTCTCTTATTCTGTCACAGTTATTAAACGTTTGCTGCAACTAGGGTTGCCAATTTTAATTTCAAATATTTAGTAGTATCGAACCCGAGTTGCCCGCATACTGTGAAATTTACAGCGAACGCGTAGCCCCTGAGCTACCACCACATGAGCGGCACCAATGAAATTGTTAATTGCAATTTTAAGTGCTGATTTAGCACGTGCTCGGTGGTGAAGGAAAACATAGTGAGGAAACCTGCATGTCTGAGAAATAGGAAAAAAATTAATATTGTGGTGCAGTGCGACGGACATTTGCTTGCCCTAAAACCATTTCAGAAATGATAGGGGTCCTGTGTCCAACCGTGAGACGTACTTAGTAGTAAATTTAATGCAGGGACAACCTGGTAAGATATGCAAAAAGTCAACAGATGCAGGTAACTCAGAATTGTGGTTTTTAAGCTGTTCTTAGAAGTAGTCAGCTATGTTCACCCGCGAAATTGTAAAGCGCCGTCATGGTAATGATGTTAATGTAACAATTGGTATTTTATACGTATTGTCAAGGATCTTTCTTATCTTGCTTTAAGCACGGAATAAATAATAGTTTAAGAACAGAAGGATCACTCTCTGACAGCAAACTCGCGAGTTTAAAGTAGTTAAACTTGCTAATGTTCAAAATATTTTGCACGCCTCGGAAGCGACCTTCGTGAAATAGCCTACCGATTAATCTTAATTTTTCTAGACGTTACGTATTAACCTCCTCACATTGAACACTAATGTTGTTATTATCAGCAAATTACAAGTACATTGCATAACGCCTCGGTATATTCTACTACCAACTAATATCAAAGGATTCAATTTGTTGTTCACAACACCTAACCCTACAGTTGGAGCGGCCTTAACAAAGTCGTGTAACGGGCTAAGTGATACAGACACTGCCATGCGGGCAACTGAACGTCAATAACGGTTTTACGCGTTTTTGGTGTCATTTTAATTATTTTAAGTTTTCTTGCAATATTCTGATTACATTCCTTATATATTTTAGTATATATTAATAATATTTATTTGCATTTTCATATTGTATCTCATTTAGCGACAATTTCATACTATCACAAAATAGTTTAACGTAGCCTTAGTCTCTCGGTCGCCATGTCTAATCCAATTCCGCCTAAGCCACCGGATCCGAATTATTCTGACACTAACATTATTTCCTCACCTACTGCTTATGTGGAAATTGAAAATGATTTAGAAGGTTCATTTAAAAAACCACGGCAGTCATTATCGCAAGAAATTTTTGATGACAACTACAAAATTATTTCAAACAAAAAAGAAAAGAAAACATAAAACGAAGGAAAGGAAGAGCATGCTAATCGGGTTGACATAAATAGAAGAATTTCAGCTTTTTCCACCAATTCCTCATTCTCAGAATCGGACTACGATACTGGTAATACTTCATCATCTAAAATTAAAATTGTAGGCTTTAACTCTATCAAAAGCAATATGTCAGGGCAACGTGCTTATGAATCTCCCATGTCTTTATCATCCAATATTACTTGTACACAATCATCTGAAATCCCTCTTTCACAATCATCTGGCATTCCTCTATCACAAAAATTAAATTCTGCCAATAGTTATATCTCTTCTAAATCTCTTAACACGCATATTGATAGCGATAATAAAAAAATAGAGTCACAAAGATTTCAATCTCTTCGTTCTTATAATTCTACAGATTCAGGTCCTTTTATCGTTCATGTTCAAGTAAAAGAAGATTCTCCTAATTCTGGTAAAACTTTAAATTTAATTTGGTCACTTTTTGAAAATATTAAATGTACAAAATATAGTTAATGGAGGCCTAAAACGTATCGGGAGAAATAGAATAACGGTTGAATTCTCTAAATTTATTGATGCAAATCTATTTTTAGAAAATCCATCCGTAAATGATAAATATAAAACCTTTATTCCATCATTTCACGTATCTCGTATGGGAGTTATAAAAGGTGTACCAAAAGATTGGACACCAGAAGAAATTATTTCCGAATTATCTTCGTATCCAAACACCATTCCTGTATTAAAAGTAAGAAGATTAAATTACCGAGTTCAAACGAGGACAAAGTCAGATATGAAAGCTCTGAAAGTGTCGTAATCACATTTGACGGTCAAATTCTTCCCTCGAGGGTTTATTTATGCTATTCTTCCATTCCTGTTGAAATTTATAAGCTTCCAACGATCCAATGCTTTCAGTGCTGCAGATTTGGACATACTAAAGATTTATGTCGTTCCAAGCCAAGATGCTCAAAATGTGGAGGTGATCACTCCTCTTCTTCTTGCGACAAAGATAATGGATCTTTTCGTTGCTTATTTTGCTCAGGTAACCACAAAGCCACAGATTCAAGATTTCCTGAACACACAAGACAAAATAATATTAAAATTGAAATGGCACAAAATTCTATCTCATACCTAGAAGCATCTCAAAAATATCCTCAAGTTTCTTCAAAATCATATGCTGATGTTTTGATTTCTAAATTCCCTGAAAATTCTTCGCTTTCTACTAATCCTACAGTGGATAATTTTTCTCCCAACCCCGCTACATCTAATAAAACTTCTTATAAGAAATCATTATATATTCCTAAACCATTACATCACCATTCACAAACAGGATACGAAAAAAAAAGTCATCAAAATATTATTGAAGATTTTTCAATTCCGCAACCTGAGGATGGTTGTGCTCTTCGGGTTTCACCAGTTACTTCACAGGTTAATTTTGATTCTGTAGAAATCATTATAAATTTCCTTATTAACATAATCATATCTTCGTATTCGTCGAAGCTACCTTCCCACGTTGCTCGCTTACTAAATTCTATACCTAAAATTCTCCAAGACATTCACTCTCACAAAGATCCTTCAATGGAATTGTAGAAGCATTT